CTCTCTCTCTCTCCCTCCCTCCTTATTACAATATATTTTGGTTCTTTCCCTGCAGCTTGGATTTCAGGGCTTATTCAGACACTGCTTTATGCCGATTTCTTCTACTATTACTTCCAAAGGTACATTTCCCACCCAACTCCGGGGTCTCGATTCATATCCCAATTTAATATTATTTCTTTTACTTGTTATTTCACCGTTTCAGCTGGAAGAATAATGTGAAGCTTGAACTGCCTGCATGAGTTGGTATCCCTAACAATTTTGAGAATCTTGCCATAGCTACATCCTATCACGTCCACATTCTGGCTGGTCTTTTACTGCTCGGTTTCACGCATTTGTGTTCATACAGTATAATGTGCAGTGATATCTTCTGCTAAAATTCCACGGATTTGTGGAGTGGAAGTAGTAGTAGTCTTGTAGATGGAAGCGGCCAAAATATGAGAGAATGGGGTTTTGGAGCGTGTTGCCAGTTATAGCTACAAATGCAATCAATTGATATTTTATTCGGTCCGAATTGGTTATTACCACTAAATTCCTTCAGGTTAAGGGAAAAGATCTTTTGAGGCAGACTTGTCTACTATATTATCGGTTTTGTTATGGAGTCAACGAATGGCTCGACTTATGGAGTCATTCATAGTTATCTACAAATAGTGTATTGACACGTGTCATGTAATAAATACACATTTGACACGGGACAATACATATTATTATGGATGGCTCCCAAGAAAACCATCAATGGCTCTGTAGCATTTTTTACTATATTAGTTAGAAATGTTGTATCGCTAATAAACTAGCTAAAACTTATAACAATATATTTTCTAGAATTTCTAGTTACTATTATTATTTGCTTGACAACTATAAAAGTTTTCTATCATGGAAACTATACATAATAAAGATATACATAATAAAGATGTAACTTGCCATTCTTTCAAGACTAGGCCAAAGTAAATAACTAACCCCCAAATAAATCAATATTCCATAGAAGATATAGGAGACATAGAATTCGAAAATTGCTTGAATACTTTCAATTTAATATAACCGTCTGAAAGAAACCATCTAATAAGAATTATCTTATCTCTTATTCTCTCTATCTCTCTTCCCGTTTTTTTTCCTTCTCTCTCTTTCATTTTTTATCTTCTTCTTCTTCCTTTTTCTTCTTCAATCATTAATGCCTAAAAAAACACTAAAAAAAATATTGATCAATATGTTATATACATACATAACAATTAAATTATTTAGAAAAGCAACACAAAAGTTTTGTTATTGCAACATAATTTTTAGAAAACAACAAACAAGATACAATGAAACAACAATACACTACTTATCAGTAACATGAAAACAACTTTGTATTAACAATAAAATATATACAATTAATTTTTATAACAAATATGTGAGATTGTAAATTTTACAACAACAAAATAATCACCATTACAACATTCATTAACACATAAATTCAAATTTCATAACACAAATAAAAAAAATTTATGCCTTAAATGGATCATCAGTATATGGCAGTTAGGAAATTTGAAATTTTATTTAGCAAGTATCAAACTAATTGCGAACATAAAGATGCAGAGAATATAAT